CTTTATTAAAATCTTTCGATCTCATGCCTTTATCTGGTGATTTATCTTAATTTTACTCCTATATGTGTATTTTTGTTTAATAATTTTTCTCTTGGCACGCACTCAGAGATAGAAATTAGGTTGAAAATAATTTCAAATGTTTATTTTTGAATGATTTGTTGGATTTAGGTTATCGAAATGTTATGGTTGGCTGAAAGTAATTATTTCCTGGGTTTATTAGATTGGTTCTGTATTTTCTTACAGAAGTTAAATCAAACTGGATTAGGTATTTATTTATTAATGCTGAAATTATTTTGAGAAAAATAGAAGGGAAAAAGGAAATGAAAATGGTTTACCGTGTTTGAAAATTCCTGTAGATGCTAATAAGGGAAATCAACATTACGTTATGGGTACAGTAGAAGTAGAATGAAAACAATGTAGAATGAGGTGATTAACAATGACGCTGGAAATAAGCTTCCTGCATAAAGGCAAAAGGAATAGGAAAGAAGGGAATTGATAATGTTGACTTTTTTATCCTCTTAAAGAATCAAGTTGGCTTTGTTTAATATAATGAAAAGTGAATGGAAAAACATTTAAAAAATCTAATACTTCGTCCATAAGTATGATGATACAGTCAATTCCTATGGAACTTAAGACAGGATGTGTTCTCTTAGAAATTTTCCTTTTTATACTTTTTCGGGGCTTAAACTCAACATCTGAGTTTTAAAAGGGAGAAACAGGATTTGTGTAGCAAATATCATATTGAGCAGAATAATATAAAAAATTGAGTTGTTGAGCAATGAGCACGCAGAAAATGCAATTGCTAAGATGAGAAATACAAGTGAAAGTGAGGAAAAAATTAGTGCTTATCTGTCAAAGTCTCTTGAATGCTGTGATAACCTCGCACTTTTCCGGTATTCTTATGCTGGACATTGTCGTTAGAGGATACAATTTGTGCATATTCTGAATTTTATTTCCAAATACATTTTATAAGCTAATCATAAAACAACAGGGCCGACAGATCAATATATATATGATTTTTGAAGCTTTGGAACAGTCTTTAATGGATTGCCATCTTTCCTCTACATCAACTCTTCCATGGATCTGGATTGTTGAGACACTAGCAAGCTGTAATCAAGTTGATGAATCTATTTTATATGGTACACGTGTTGCTTCCTTTATTTTGTAATGAAAAATGGTGTTAAGTTCATTTTGTTGTTGAGAGTTAAGAGTTCTATATTGATAGTCGATGTATTGTAGAATTGGTTAAGAAGACCCCAGAAATATCTAGTGATCTTGGGAAAAATGCAAGAGAGTTTGTCTCCTTGAGAATCATAGAGAGATTGTTTGTCATTGGAGCTCAAAATGCAAATCCTGTATCTTCGTCTTCAAGTCCTAAAATTGGATTTGACCCATCAGAGAGTTGTGAAGCTGTCCTGGAACGCATATCACGTGAGGTACTTCACTTTGTTTTGTCTCTGGTGTAGCTTTATGATATTTAATCTGAAGACATACTGTATGTCAAGGTACTTTTTGTATGTAAAAATGGTTAACCTGCTTGTATAATTTTCTGTACATGTTAGACATCTGTACAAAATCTGATAGAATATGGACTCGACACATTGAAATGGGATATTCAGCCCTTCATAGCACACAAAAGATCCAACTCGCCTAAATGCACTTTACAGCAGGTGAAAACGATTCTTTGATATAGTTATACAATATTTTGAATTTTCTGTTATTTGTTCTGATTTTCTCACTTCCTTCAAAACAGCTGAAGAGTGCAATTCTTACAGGAGGCCATCCTCTTCTTTCATCCTTAAAAGAACACAGTGGTTTGGCAGTTACAAATCAGCCTGAACATAGACTTTCAGTGGATGATGGTGATACCAACCATGTTGCAGCTACACTTGAAGAGAGCAACACGAATACTCTAAATGTTGCAGCAAATGGTCACTTAATTTCTCCCATCCCTGCCAATAGGGATGTCCTCTTGAAGAGAAGTTTGCCTGATGATAACTTATTAGTAGCTAAGCGGAGTAGGAGTGCCATTACAGAAATTGTGGAAGGTCTGTCCCATGAAAATGAAATCACATTGGGGAATGATTGTGAAACCCTTGTAAAATCTGGCAAGAAGTTTAAGCATGGTATCATCTATCGTGAACAGGATGGGGGTATGAATTTAGTAACTTCACAGGCAGGAAAAAATAATCCTCCTGGAGACTGCAAGAACCAGCATCCTTCATTGAAGGGGCTTGTTGAACATGATGAAGTTCTGCCTTGCGAACCTCAGGTTCTTCATAGGGGCACTGAATTGCCAAAGGACAAATCAGGCAAGGTACAAGGCCAAGACAATCATCTTGATGAAGTAAAAGCTGATAAGGAAGGAATTTGCGAGCTCAGCACAGATATAGGCACTTGCAAGGGTGGGATTCAGCCAGAGATTTGTAACGATGAAGACCTGGATGGATACGAGCATAGTTCTCAACGAAAAGCCTCTAATGTTATTGAAGCTGAAGATATAGACCACAATCAAGATGCTGATATGTCTTTTGATAATGAGGGGTATAATGATGAGAATGATATTGCCATGAAGAAGAATGCTTTCTTAAGCTCTCAGTGCACATACAGCCAAGATTCCTTGGCAACAACTGATTGGAGAGATCTAAATCTGTGCACAACATGCAAAAAGNTCCTTGGCAACATGCAAAAAGGGTGGACCTTTATTGGCCTGTAGTTATAATAGTTGCCCCTTGATGGTTCATGAGGGCTGCTTGGGCTCTGCCGCAACCTTCGATGCGGTGGGCAAATTTTACTGCCCTTTTTGTGCGTACTCTAGAGCTATCTCGGAGTTCAATAAAGTCAAGGACAAGGCCTCCATGGCAAGAGGGACCTGGCAACCTATTTTAGAATGGGAACTGTAAAACGAACAAAGGAAGTATCCGTTAGTTCACGTAGGGAAAAGAAAAGTCAACCAGAACTGGAAGAACATTTGCATGATAATAACAAACTGAACAGCATAAATATTTCTAAACAGGCCAACGACCCTCAGCATCGGGAAGATCTTAAAGATGACTGTGTAGCAGAGCCTTCGGTATCATGTGCTGGTGACAATCCCCTTCATGGAGATAAAATAGCAGATTTAGACAGTGAAAAAGAACTCCACCTTTTGACAAAAGAAAATGAAGAGGGGAAAAGGGTGGGGTACAAATTTCCAGGAGATCATGGGAAACAACTAATCGCTGTGGAGGCAGTTAGTAAATCTGGAGGTGGTCTTCCTTCTGCCACGGCCCCACAGAGAAGCAATGGAAATGAACATGCTGAAGTCAGATCTAAGAAGAAAGTCTCATGCCAACCAGGAACAGATTTAGCTCATCAATTGACATGCTCTTCAAATAGTAATGGAGAACAAATTTCTGAAGAAGAAAATGAGAGTTCTGGTGCTTCCAAGTTCTTCATAAGCATCCGAAAGCAGGAAAGGCAACAGTAAGTTCTATTGTTCCTGAAGAAAGTGTGCATTGACGGTATGTTGTTTCAATAAATTGTCTCAAGTACTTGATACGTAATAGTAGGTCTTACAAACATTTTCATTTACAAATACAATGTTATCTTTTGAAAATTTGGATTATTTTTTATTGTTTTGGTTAGGGCTAATGTCACTAATGATGATTATTTTGTATTGACCAATAAATTTTTGGGAAGTGTTTATAAATGGTTTAAATATTGAATAGAAAGAAAATTGTGGTGGGTAAGTGGGTAGTACTTGTGGATCTCTCAAAATGTGTGGATAAAAGGTGACTTGAGTGTTTATAAACCATTTATAGAACATGAGCCTAAACATAGCCTTAATTACTTTGATGGACAATCACATTTGGCTTCCCATCATGGACATTAGTTTTTCATTTTTATTTTTTCCCTGTGTATAAATATATGAGCGTAACTTAAGGAAATTTTGCACTTCATACATCACCGTTACATAAATCACTGCAAAGAGATTTGCTTTTTATGTATCCAAAACACAACAGTCATAAGACATAAGACCTTTTTCAGCAATAAAATTAAAGCTCCTTTTCCCATTAATCTTAGAACTTATCACAACTCAAGTATGAACAGCTATGTCCCCACGTTTGTCTTCATTCACTTTCAAGCGTCATATTTCAATTTATAGATCCTTGGCAATTATATAAGCTGGATGAGTGTTTTTGTATGTGGTCACAATGTTTAATCAATTTTTTTGTAAATCGAAGTAACTAAGAGTTCCTTTAGGCTAAAATGTGATTAAAAAGCAAAATAAAAAAGGGAGTCCATTTAGATTATCTGAGCCTGAATTATCTAGATTAGATTTTGAAATGTTCTGTGATTGAATATATTTCTGGTGTGAACATATCTGAAATACTTAGGATGGTCTTTATCTTAATCTGCAGTTCATATCCAGCTATTCCTCTACTGAGGCGGAAGAAGATCCCGTGGACAAGAGTAGAAGAGGAGACATTGAAGGTAGAAATATTTCTGCTTATGATATGTAACACGTGTTCTTTGGGTTTCCCTTTTCCTTTTCAATTTGCTGAACTTAAATTGGAAGTCTTTGCGTTGAAACAATCAAATGAATGACTGAAATAAAGAAATGATTCATATCTTCCTACTAACTTATAGCCTTTTTGGTATGACGAAAGACTGGGAAGATGGAAATCTTATTGCTACAATGAAATAAAATATTCTATGTTGGGAGTTATAAAATCAATCTAGAACGATATCCATCTTACTTAGCCCATGTTTGGTAGAAATTGAAATCTAAATTTTTATTTAAGTCAAAGTCAACAATTAAGTTAACTGCACATTTTATGGGATCCATAATTTTTCAGCCACACATTTCATCTACTTTTATCAAAATCTACTAAAAAATTGATTTTAATCCCCATTAAACAGGGGCTTAAAATATGGGATTTCTAAACTCAATCAAAATTGATTGGATCTGTAAATCTGACCACAATTGGACATATAAGTTCATCTCACCTAAAACTATGGTTAAGCCACATAAAATCTGTTTCCGTATTCATTCCAAACCCCGTACAGTAATCCAACTCCACGCTTTCACATTTAATTTAAATGCAAGATTTAAGCATGGAAATCTTTTATTTTTTTAAGATATGTAGATTTTCATCCCGGGCTTCTTAGGATTTTCCAGTCCTTGAGGCTGCAGAATAAAATGCTTTTCCTCTACTTCTGTTGAGATTGAAAACCGATGATAGTTGTTGCTGTGCTTTATTTTCACCCTTTTCATATTGGAAGGTTATGTTTTACTTATTTTTTCCTCAAGTCATTTGCTTGAGATACAGATATGCTATTTTTTTCTTCAACAGGAAGGGGTACAGAAATTTTATAGTGCTCATGATAGAAATATTCCATGGAAGAAAATTTTGGAATTTGGAGCTGAAGTTTTCCTAAGAGGTCGTACTGCAATAGACCTCAAAGATAAATGGAGAAACCTTTGCAAAGGAAGCCCAAAATCAAAATGATGTTTAGTGGACGGTTTGTACTTGTTTGATAATTTCTATGCTGGAAATAGTTTGTGCATGTACAGTGGTAAAGATATGTTTGTGCAAAATGAAGTTTAGTCGACCGGCTTGTAATTGTTGGATCTCTCCCCCCTTCCCCTTTCTGGAACCACCAGATTTGACAACAATGAAACATGGGGTATCAAAGTACCCCCATGTCAATTTATCATTGGAATTTTTGCTAGTTTAAGGGTCAAAAGAATGGCTGTTTATCTACCACATCTTCCCCAGTGAGAAATGAGAATGAAGGTCCTTTTATCACCGTTAGCTTTATCCTTGATAAATCCCTCTGAAGATGTGTTTGAATACCTTAAATTTTGTTGAGGGTATACTAAAGTTAATGTGACCATCAATTGTACCATGACCAGTGTTCCTGCACGTGTAGAGACCAATGGAGATTTGATGACACTGTTTAGAGGTGATCTTAGTTCAAAATTAGATTTCTAGATCGGATTTTTTTTTTCTTTTTAATCCGAAATTAGATTTCTAGATCTGTTGCAGCCATGGTGGTAATTTTTTCGCCAGCTGTTTTTGATTTCAATGTTCAATTGTATGATCTCTGCATTTACTTGTTCATATCCAAGTCATTCTAATATTATGTTTGTTCTCTCTCTTGAAGTTTGATCCTTAGCTTAAATCATGTTGGACTCAAAATGGATAACGGGAAAGACATTGACTTAGTCTTTAGATGCATTCTCATCATTGGATGCTTTTCTCGAGGAGATGGCTTTTCCGGGTGACCTCGGAAACAATAAGGCCCCAATCTCTTATGACATTCGAGTAGAGATGGCTGGCGCGAAGTTTATCTTCTTTTTCCTCACTTACAAAGCGAGTTTAATCGTTACTAGTATCATATGGGAATGGAATTTCCCAGATTTATTGTATGATCTAGGACTGTACAGACTTATATCGAGTCTTCATGTGTGTGTGTGTGTGTGTGTGAGAGAGAGAGAGAGAGAGAGAGAGAGATGCATGGGATGAAGGTGAGTGAGTAGTACTAGGAACGAGGCCGTGAAATTCAGAAAAACATGTGAATTAGGCTCGTGAACATGAAAAATGTTGTGAGGTGGTCTCTGCCCTGTCCTAGTAACTAAACAATTACTCCCAAAGGATCCAAGGTACATAAATAGAGCAATTTAGATTTTTTATATACATGTAGTAAATAAGCCATATTCGTTTTAAGATTTCAAAATTTAGATCATTTTAGGATACAACGGGATGAGTGTGGGGACTTCAACTTCCTTAAAATTTTACTTGCTTTATGTGCATGTCGTATTCTAACCAACGTAAGTTCTCGTTGATTTAAACCTTAAGGTAATGATAATGTCAACTCTCATAGATTTCATCAAAGATATACCCTTGCTTAGTGGAGATTGAAATTAGATTTTCAATAAATTTTGATAAAAGTTAATGTACATTGTGGTTGAAAGTTGATTTTAGTACCTACCAAATAGGGATAGTATATTGTTCAAGATTGTCTAAAAGGAGGGTTCGCTAATTATTAGACTATTTTAAATTGTTTGTAAACCGTCCTACAAGAGCCTGAACTTTATGATATTCCGTTTAAGGTTTAAATTATGCACATTAGCATTGCATATAGGGTAAAAATGAGATACGTGGAATAAAGGGTGAAAAATGGTGTAGATAAGTTGACTAGAAATGCAAATGATTAAAATTAAAATTTTATTTATTATCCCATTTAATCTTATCTATTACTAAATAACACTGACATTAGGTTTAATGTTAAATTATCATGTAAGAGCATTTCTGAGGAACTCAGTATATTCTACAATTTAGATAATATCTACAAATTTAAAGAGTAAAACATTTTAAGCACTTCAACAGCTCTTTATATTTAATAGTCGCATCCTATTTGAGCCCCATTTTTTTGTGTAGAATGTATTTTGGAATAGTAGATTGATGGATAATATGTGGTTAAAAAATGAGAAATTTTTTTGGGTTTGCGTATAATATTATTTTATTAAAACATGTATGGTGAAAAGGAGAGGAAAAAATGTATTTTAGAAAAAATGGGGATCAATGGCTTAATTTACTACTCGTAGAAAATATTTATTGTTTTTCTTATCTTTTGTTCTCACTAGGTTCACTTCACATTATGATATTATTTTTCTTCATTGAAAATTAAAATATTTTGAATACATTTAACTATTGAGAGTGGTTTTGACTCTCTAAATTTGGAGAGCCAAACCCACTCCTTAAATTAAAATGCTAATTTAAATATTCTTTTGGAAAATAATTTTATGAATCGACCCAGTAAATTAGAGAGAATACAATATTTAAAAAGTTTCTTGAAAATGTTGTAAGTAGGGCTAGGCAAAATGTCCGAATCGAATCGAACCGATCCGGAATCGAATCGAGCGGGTTTTTTAAAATGAAATACCCGAACGGATATTCGAATCGAGAACCGAATGGTTTGGTTCGGTTC